GATTGAATTCTCACTAATAATTTTAGAAAAATCAAAGCTGATTATAATTAAAGTAAAATGATCTAGCTTGGTCCATTTCACAGAGAACAGCTGATAAGATTTTACTCTGAATCTGATGTATGAAGCTTGACCTTGGGGGGGGGAAAAGTGTTAGTAACAAAATTTAGAAATCCACGGAGATCAATAGCATGCCTATATTTTTGTGTGTGCTATAAAAGTGACAAAGGCCAAGGGGGAGTTAACCATAAAGATTTAAGGTGTTTGATCTTATGAAAATACAGGGCTTTGGAACGGAGCCCGGAGCTGCAGGTTTTTAGCTGGAGCGGAGCCGGACAACAGCTCCAAAGCCCTGCTTATGAACCTACACACCAAGCAATAAATCATTCTTAATTGCCATCAGTCAGTATAGAAACATGCCCTTTTTTCACGTTGAAGTATAACAATTAATATCCAAATAGTAATTTTGCAAGTATTGTCCAAGGTTACAGGAAAAGAACTATATTACCATTATTGCATTATATTTAACAATAATGTATCAGAATAATCATCAGTATTGTTTCAAACAAAAGCATTAAAAAAGGTTCCAAAATAAAGAACTGATGTTCTAAAGAAATATTACAGAACTTAGGATGTACTAAGTCTTCTGAACCATTTAATCAAAGTAGAACCAGTTTATACAAAAAAATCAAACAATGAAGTAACAAAAAGGCAAGGAGTATACAACAAGGGGGAAAGTACCACAAAACATTGCTCGTCAGATATTCTTACACTTATATAGCATACCATCTTTCAACCATAGTGCTTTATGGTGGGTAAACATTACATATATGCTATATGAAAATACTTGATGGGAAATTTTCAGAAGTGCTCAATGGTGTCGTCCTAACTGTGCTCCCATTGAAGTCAATAGTAAAACTAACTGACTTCAATGGTGGACAGTTAAGCCAACATGTCGAGTACTTTTGAAAATCTGTGTTGTGGGTATATATAAAATCTCTCTGACAGACAGACAGACGTTATCTTCTCCCTCTCCCTTTATATGTCACTTGTATTCTTTGGCTCAAAGTTCTTTAGAGGAAGGACCATGTCTTCATATACCTTTGTACAGCCCCTCGCAAAGTAGGGTCTTAATCATGACTGGGACTTCTAACTACTACTACAATACAATCATTTATTTATATAGCTGTTCCTAGCAATCTAACTATATTTACATATAAACACATGCATGCGGAAATACTGTTGTGCTATAACAGTTGCTGTGTTCCACCCCAAAAGTAGCTACTGTACTTACACATACAAACTAAGATACAAGCTACTTCTGGGGTGAAATATAACAGTTGTTGACTGCAATGATTCCTAAAAAGAAAACTGTACCCAAATACATGAAGAAAATAATCAGTGAATTTAGCCAGAAAACCAGAACTAAAACTTCTTCTGAAGGCTTTATGTTGTTTTTCCTATCCAGTACTGATATTTCTAGGATTTAAACTTACTGTATATAAATCTTCATATACGAAATGGAAATTATACCATTTATAAATTCAGAAAGTTTTGGTAGCATTTTAAAACAAATTACTTACATAATAAATCACAGAACTGGCCCATTTATACTACTGACTCAGTCTCCAACAATGCTCATGATTTCTGCATCACCTCAGAAGCAGGTAAGAATTAGTAATAAGTGACACAAATGACAAAGCAGAGAAGTATGCACAAGAGTGAATACATCAGCCTTGAAACTAGAAAAACAGGACTTAATTTAGGAAGCAGCTTTTAAAACATGCTGAATAGTGAATAACTTTAGAGATATTAGAAACAGTTGCAGTATGAAATTACAAAATAAATTAAAGGAATATAATTTGTTTTCATAGTTATAAGGAACACAAAACAAATGTGAGTGTGAACATATCAAACCTGTCTAATTTCAATGCAAAATGTGTAGCTTAAATGTATGGGTGTTTCCTTCCTTTAAGGCCCTTGGTCTTTTGTGGGAAACAATCTGTCCAAAATCCAGTATATGCTTCCACTTAAGAGTGCAAACACTTCTGGTCAAAAATTAAGCATTTACACATAGCACCATAAATGCACAACCTGCTTTATAAAATACAAAGCAAGAGTCTCTTCCCCAAAGGATGTACCGTTTAGCAACTTAAACAAAACAGGAGTACTTGTGGCACCCTAGAGACTAACAAATTTATTAGAGCATAAGCTTTCGTGGGCTACAACCCACTTCTTCGGATGCATCTAATAAATTTGTTAGTCTCTAAGGTGCCACAAGTACTCCTGTTCTTCTTGCGGATACAGACTAACACGGCTGCTACTCTGAAACCTGTCATTAAACAAAACAGAGCAGGTAATGGAATGTGTGGAAAGATAACTAACTGGTGAGCAGAAAGACAAAAAAAGTATTGGTAGAAGGGAGTTTAAGAGAAAGATTAGCATGAGAGGAGTGTACGTTGCCTACAAAAAAAGACTAGGGCTCAGCATTATATCACCATAGTCAGAATCGCCACTTTTATAGTGTTCCCTTCACAGAGCTGTTATCTTTATCATATGCTCTACTTAAACCAACCACAAATATATACTTCCCAATGTGAATGCTATCAAGTTTAGAAAACTGACCACCACCCATTCTTCCAAATACAAATCTGAACCAGAGTATTAAGAAACAACCATATACTGTAAACACTTTCAGCTGTTCACATTTGCACAAAAAGTTACCATCACACAAGAAAAATCAGTGAACATACGGTTAAAACCAAACTGAACAAATGATTCTGAAAATTAATCTGAACAGCATTTAGTCCTTACAAAGCTTAGCCTACTTCCTCCAATTACTGCTTTATCTGTCAATATTTGTTATGTAGTAATAAATCAGCCTCTCTTTCTGTCAGATGAATGGCCAAGTTCTCTTCCAAGTACAGCCACCAACTTTTTCTACCCAACACCAAATAACACACCTCCTCATGAAAATTACACATTTGCAACTTTAGTAGTTCTTCCTGAATGACTGCACCATTTAACCCAAAGTATGGGATTTCTCTAGTACATCAGAGTCCTCACCCTTCCTCATAGAAAAATGAAGTAAAAATGGCTCCAGATTGGTGCTAAGAGCTAAAGATCCAATAATGTTAAAAAGAAGCAACTTCTGGTGCTCTCCCTGGAAGCAGCAAAATTCAGCATGTCTGTAAAGCAAACTTTCCCTTCAAGCTCTTTTATGCAAAAAGATTTCTTTTTAAGTTAGAATATGCAAAAACATGATTGGGAGGAGGTTGAAAACAATAACTGAATATATCAAATCAAGTATAACTTTGAGCAGGTGAATGGCTAAGATTGAAGGCATATCAATTCCCTGTAAGTACCTTCAAAGCCAATTAAAATTTAACCTTTATATTGTCAAATATGAGCAGACTGCAGAAGAGGTAAAACAATCATCATCCCCAGCTTGCTCCTCAATCCAGCAGTAAAGTACAATTGCCGGGCTACAAGTCTAATCATCAGTCAGATGCTCTTTTCCTAAGGTATCTTCTAAAGCAGGGGTTCTCAAACTGGGGGTCGGGACCCCTCGAGGGGTCACGAGGTTATTAGATGGGGGGTCACGAGCTGTCAGCCTCCACCCCAAACCCCGCTTTGCCTCCAGCATTTATAATAGTATTAAATATATTTAAAAGTGTTTTTAATTTATAAGGGGGTCCCACCAGTACAAAAGTTTGAGAACCACTGTTCTAAAGGAAAGTAATCACCAGTGGGAATAGATCTCAGAAGCACCAAAACATCTGGTGTTACCATCTCTCATATATTTACACTCTCCCCCTACCACCAAGCTTCAAATTTTAACACAAAAGACAAAAAACAAAATAGGCAAACCTTCATGGTCTTCTCAATGGGAAGGATTTAGTTCTTAACCCCACCACACACACACCTCCATTGCAAACACATTTAGTAACATGCATTTAATTACATCATTTCCATCCCCTTGCTTATGGTTCCCTCTCATCGCAAATATCTGGGTACCACGTCCCATTGCTTTATGGAGCTTCATAGACAGATACAGCAGTCCCTGCCCCGAAGAGCTTACAATGCATGCATGAACCTTGCTGCTGCAAGTGTCTAAGTACACAGGAGGGGAAGAACCAGGGAACTCCCCGACATTGCTGTGTGCGCCATGGGGAGGGGAGGAGAGGAGTACAATCTCTTGTCTACACTACAGACTTAACCCCCACCTCTCACCCCCTACATAGCACTATGTTGGCTTTTCAGGGGTAATCAATTATTTTTGGTCAAGTTCCACATTTCTTGGCCAAGGTATAGTCAAGGTCCAGACTCCAGAGAAAATAAAAAATAATAATGAGGCTAGTAATAAGCAAATAAAAAGGTTTCACTGTCCAAAAGCATCCAGACTTGGCCCGTGGTCCACCTATTGACTGCACCTGGCTTAGAGCGCCTTCATTTAAAGCCCTACGGCGGGGCTGTGCCGATGCAACATGTTAAGAGTAGACGTGCCATACACCCAATGCCTCTACCCCCTGCTGTAAGGAGAAAGCACAAATACCCAGTCCCAGCTAAGGGTAACCAGGGAGAGGGGAAGAGGGAATGGTCCCCCGAGAGTAGACCAGAAGAGAGAGAATGGGGGAAGGGGGAAGGGGCAATTGGCCAGCCTCCCCCCCACTGGGCAGCCCCCGGGGGGAGCGGGGTTGGGGCCGTTGGAGGTAGCTGGCCCTCTGCCTAGGGCATGCGGGAGGGGCGTCGGGGGTGACCGGCTAGCCCCCTGCCTAGGGCGCTCCAGCTGATGGGGGGCTGGGGGAGGTTGGGGACGTAGGAGGCGGCCGGCCGCCCCCAGGGCAGCGGGGGTTGGGTTGGGGAGTGACCGAGCAGCCCCGGGAGGGGACGGGGGTTGGATTTGGGGGGGGTGTCCGGCCTCCCCTGGGGGACTCTCCTGCCTTAGCCCGTGCCCGGCTCCGGGTCCCGGGCAGCCCCTGTGCGCGGCGGCGCCCCCTTACCCATGCTGTGCCCGCCCGCCCGGGCCGGGGGAACCGCTCCGTGTCCTGCCGCCGCCGCCAGCCGCTCCTCCCGCTGCCGCGCTCAGGCCGGGCACGGCGGCTCCATCCGGCCGGCCGCGGGGGCGGAGCAGCTGCTACAAGCCGGCGAGGCCCCGAGGCAGCCGCCGCCGCAGACTCCCCTGGACGAGACCCGCTCTGGCACCGGCCGCGGCAGCCGCAGCTCGAGCTCCCGGCGGGGGGGCGCCACATCCCGCGAGAGCTCGGCGCCCGCCTGCCGCCCTGCTCCGCGCTGGGTTCTGCCCGCTGTTGCCAGGTGCCGTGACGTGCGGCCCGCCCCGGCCCCGGCCGAGAGCAGGGTGAGGAGCCGCCCCTCGCCCTGCCGTCGGAGTGTCTGCCCCGTCCCCACATGGCACTGCCTCCCCCCAGGATCTTCTCGCGCCTGCCCGCCCAGGCCGGGGGGGCAATACCCAACCCCCCCATCTACACAGGGGAGAGACGTCTCCCCCCCACGTACACACACGCCACATACACCCACACTGGAGAAACCCCCCACACAGGAGAAACACCCCCCCTCCCACTCCGGAGATCCACAACTCACACAGGGATAAATTCTCACACACACTCAGGGGAGACACAAACACACTCACACAGGGAGTTATTCGCGTAGCTGAAGTTGCATAACTTAAACCGATCCCCCCCACAGTGTAGACCAAGCCTTTGTGTCTGACCAAATCCAAGGGCAAGTCTACACTACAAAATTAAGTTGACCAAAGCTACATTGATGTAAGTCATCGCAGTGATTAAATCACTATTGCATGTTCACACTATGCTCTTTGTGTGGGTGGTGTGCGTCTCCTCACCAGGAGCGCTTGCACTGATTTAACTGTCAGTGTGGGGCATTGTGGGCTGGCTTCTGAAAGACAGCAACAGTCGATGTAAGCGATGCAGTGTCTACACTGACACTGCATTGACCTAACTACATCGACCTAAGTGCTACGCCTCTCAGGAAGGTGGAGTTATTAAGTTGGTGGAGTGGGTGAGTTACATCAGTGAGAGCTACGTTTTAGTGTAGATGCTTCCAAAGTTAAGTCGACGTCGACCTAACTCTGTAGTGTAGACCAGGGGCCCAAGAATCCCAAAGCAAAACAATGGCGCAATCATAATCCTGTAACTGTCAATGGAAAAGTAGCATGTAGACACTAGCTTACCTCATGAAGAACAGCAAAGCAAATCATTGGGGTACATCTCTGATTTAATTCCAATTAAGTACATTTCACCAGGAATTAATTTGGTTTATATATTTAGATTTATAAAATAACAAAAGACATACATCTGAACACTCTGGGCTTGTCTACATTACCCGCTGGACGGACGGGCAGCGATCGATCCAGCTGGGGTTGATTTATCGCATCTAGTCTAGACGCGATAAATCAACCGCCGAGCGCTCTCCTGTCGACTCTGGTACTCCGCCAGAACGAGAGGCACAGGCGGAGTCGACGGGGGAGCGTCAGCAGTCGACTCACCGCAGTGAAGACACTGAGTAGATCTAAGTTCGTCGACTTCAGCTACGTTATTCATGTAGTTGAAGTTGCATAACTTAGATCAATCCACCCCCCTCCCCCCCTCCAGTGTAGACCAGACCTCTGTTTCAATACTAAATAAACCAAGCCAGGAAGCATATAAAAAATCATCACATTCCCCACTTCCTCTCTATATCGCCCCATCAATATTTGCTGCTTCAGCAACACTCCTGAAAAGATGTGCCTTGCAGTAGGTTTGAGTTACTTTGAACTAAAGGGGTATAGTGGCAGCATAGCATTTAGACTCTGTGACCACCCAGGCCAGAAGGGTGCAGATTCTAGCCTGTTGTGGGGAATTATCCCTTGTGTTGAGGATCTAGCCTGTGGAGATCTTAAAGCAAGTCACTGCTGAAGCTGGCTGCCTAGAACTTCATGCTCTTCCAGGGAAAGAACTATTGGATTGTGATCTGATTGGCCTGAGGGTTGGGATCCATATCTGAACCCTTAAGCCCCTTTCTAGAGAGCAGAATTTGCTGAGTAAGAAGGAGAATGCATTGAAATAACCCCCTATCAGCAGTCCCCTATCTTGTATGCTGAAGGCAGTCGGGCTCAAAAAACTCCACTAATCTCAGCTGTAGCAAAGTTTGCCCCCCCCCCTTTTGGTTATTTTATTGTTAATATTTTAAATAAGATGTATTTTTAAGGAAAATAAAAGCAGGGTGGGGCTGCCACCCTTTAGTTTTTGTGGGAAATCAAAAGACAGTGAAAAGAACAGGAGTACTTGTGGCACCTTAGAGACTAACAAATTTATTAGAGCATAAGCTTTCGTGGGCTACAATTATGCTCTAATAAATTTGTTAGTCTCTAAGGTGCCACAAGTACTCCTGTTCTTTTTGCGGATACAGACTAACACGGCTGCTACTCTGAAACCTGTCAAAAGACAGTGAAAGAGTTTTCAGACTTCTTGTTCATTTAAACAGGTTTATACAAAGATAGTGACTTAGAGGCCAGGAGGACAAGTAAATGCAATGTGATTTTGATGAACTTTAGGGAATATGAAGCAGCAGGACCCTTTGAAATGAAAACAGCACACAGACTTCCCTACTGCAGACGGCCTTTCACGCATGATTCAAAATGAGCCATTTTAGCCAGGCTCAGGACAAAATTAGCCTGGTGAGAATGTCAACAATTTCCAGAAGTCAGTTTTTTCTGCTTTGGTTATAAATAGATATTGAGTCATAAGCATAAAAGGTGAAGTCTGAAGCACGGGTGTAAGTAGACTTTGTCCCCTATATGCTGGTGTAGTGGGTCTGGAACGGTGCCACAAGATGCTGGAGAATTCCCATGATTCAGGTACAGCATATGGCATCATAAATAGCCCTATGTAGGCCCCCTAGCAAGCCAGCAAAAATTCAAAAAGGGATTGAATGTTTATATGGGTGACAAGAGTATCCAGAATTATAATAGTTAATGCTATGAAGAGTTTTGGAAGGAATATGAGGCAATCTCTAATTATTAGGGACTGGGACAAGACCTTCATGGAGACCAAATTGTCCCAGAACTGCATAATGTGGGGTTTCTTACACCTCCCTCTGAAGCCTCTGGTGTTGGCATGGTCAGAGACAAGACACTGAACTGGATGACACATACGCTATGATCCAGTTCCAGTATGGCAATTCAAACGTTCCTTAGCCCCAACACCGGGGGTAGGGATGAGAGGAGTTGTGTCGAGGATGGGAGGTGGTTTCTCCATGACACGTGCTGCTACAGAGATTCTGAGATGCTCCAGGCTGCATAGTAACCCCCAGACAGGCATTAAGAAGTTACTGTAAAATAGAAAACCCCTAGCTTTGCTCTGATTTACACTGGGGACTAGAGATGACCGTACCTGCCGATAGTCGGTGTGAGCATGTCCATGAGAGCATGCTCAGTAAAAGCCAAGCAGCAAATGTGGGGGGACACGTGACCCCGCATGCCCTCTCCATGCCTCACCTCTGCTGGGGATCCTTTCTACCTCCAGAATAGCCCAAAATCCCTAACATGGCATAAAGGCACCTTTGCCTTCCCTTCCCCCGGCCTGCACCATCTATGGAAGCACACCCTAGAACAATGGTGGGCAACCTGCGGCCCGCAGACTGCACGTGGCCTATCAGGGTAATCTGCTGGCGGGCCACCAGACAGTTTGTTTACATTTGCACGGCCACCCACAGCTCCCAGTGGCCGCGGTTCACCGTTTCTGGCCAATGGGAGCTGCGGGAAGCGGCGACCAGCACATCCCTGAGGCCAGCACCGCTTCCCACAGCTTCCATTGGCCAGAAACAGTGAACCACGGCCACTGGGAGCTGCGGGCGGCCGTGCAAATGTAAACAAACTGTCTGGTGGCCCGCCAGCGAATTACTCTGATGGGCCATGTGGTTGCCCACCACTGCCCTAGAATCTCAACCTTTGTATTATGTACTGGCAGGCTGCTGGCTTTTTTAAATTCTTTTTCAGGCTTTATACTCACACACTATTTGATACTTGTGGCTTTGATCCTGAAGTAAGTTCCATGTGGGTGGACCTCTGGGCCTGTATCAAGCTCTATCGAGGTCAGTAGGGTTCAAGTACAGGAGTCTGTTTGTGTGCATGTGGAGCTCCCAGCAGCAGAAGGGCCTGTATCTAACACCAGTTAGCAATCACAGTGCACGTAAGGACATGTCTGTTGGGACATTCTGGGTTCAAATCAGTCATTAAGCCTCTATTGCTCGCTAATGTATATCTGAGATCATATATAAATATCTAGCAATGGATATCATGCCATGGTATATGTGACGGGTTGGATCACAGAAACCCTCTTGGGAGCTATCAACCGATGTGCCAAGACTGCTTCTATTCCTGTTTTCCCTGCCAGCTCAGGACTCCAGCACCTTGACTTGCTGAGCCAGACACTCCCATCTGCTCCAACACAGACCCAGGGTCTGAATTACCTGCCCCAAAGTTGCAGGTTTACCTGAAAACAGCTCACAGAAGCGTGCTTGTCTGTAGCACTCAGATGCCCAACTCCCAATGGGGTCTAAACCCAAATAAATCCGTTTCACCCATAAATTGTTCACCCTCTATAACACTGATAGAGATATGCACAGTTGTTTGCTCCCCCAGGTATTAATGCATACTCTGAGTTAATTAATAAGTAAAAAGTGATTTTATTAAATACAGAAAGTAGGATTTAAGTGGTTCCAAGTAGTAACAGACAGAACAAAGTAAGTCACCAAGCAAAATAAAATAAAATGTGCAAATCTATGTCTAATCAAACTAAATACAGATACTCTCACCCTTAGAGATGCTTCAGTAAGTTTTTTCCTCAGATGGACACCTTCCAGGCCTGGGCACAATTCTTTCCCCTGGTACAGCTCTTGTTCCAGCTTAGGTGGTAGCTAGGGGATTCTTCATGTTGGCTCTTCTCTCTCCTCTCTTTGTCCTGTTTCACCCCTTTATATATCTTTAGCATAAGGCGGGAACCCTTTGTCCCTCTGGGTTTCCACCCCCCCTCACTGGAAAAGCACCAGTTTAAAGACGGATTCCAGTTCAGCTGACATGATCACATGTCACTGTAAGACTTCATTACCCACTTGCCAGCACACACATATACAGGAAGACTCACAGGTAAAACACAGCCATCTGCAGACAATGGTCCTGGTTAATGGGAGTCATCAAGATTCCAAACCA